CTACGCGGGGGTCGCTCCCGCGGGCCCGGTGCGCCCCCAGTCCCCGGTGCCCTCCCGGTGCCCCCCGGTGGGACCCACCTTCGGCGGGGGCGGGGGGGCAGAGGGCGGCGAGCAGCAGGAGCCCCGCGCCGAGGCAGCCCCCGGCCCTGATCATGGTGCTCAGCGCGGGCCGCGGCCCATGGCCCCGCCGCCGCCGCTCCGGGAAAGTTTGCGGGGCCGGAGCCGCCGCCTCCCGCCGCTCCCGGGCTCCGCCTCGCGGTCCCGAGCCCCGGTCCCGGCCCCGGGGCGAGGGCGCGCCGCGCGCTCCCGCCGCCCCCGCGCGCTCCCGGCGCCCCCCCCCCCCCGACCCCGCACACTCCCCGGGCTCCATCCCCCCGGAGCAACGGGGGACCCCCAGCCCGGATCCCCCGCCGTCCATCCCCCGGGAACACCCAGGACCCCCGTCATCCCTTCCTATCCCTTGGAGCATCGGGGACCCCCCCGCCCCTCGTGGTCCCCTGTCCAGGGGTCCTGCTGTGACCCCGCAGAAAGGGGGGGTCGCCGGAATGGGGGGGACCCCCCCACACCCTGTCCCCTCACCTGCCCAGCTGGGGCTGTCACGGGTGCAGGGGAGGGGGGACAGTGATGCCACTCCTGGGTCTGGGGTCGGGGACAGTCCCAGGGGGTGAGGGGGGACAGGCCTGGCACCCAGGAATGGTCCTGGGGGGTCGGGGGGACTGTCCTGGGGGGACAAGGACAGGGGCACAGTCATGGAGTTCAGGGACAGTCCTGGGAGGACAGGGAGAGTTCTGGGGTGCAGGGACAGTGCTGGGGGTGCAGGGACAGTGCTGGGGGTGCAGGGGGTCAGTCACGAGGTACAGGGTCAGTCAGGGACGATCCTGGGGTACAGGGACAGAGGGACAGTCCCGGGGGGTACAGAGACACTTCTGGGGGTGCCCTGGGGGGCAGTCCTGAATGACTGGGACAGCTCTGGGGTGCAGGGACAACCCAGCAGCACCCGATGGGTCCCCAGAGAGGTGTCCCCAGAGCTGTTCCCTGTCCCTCCCCTGTCCCACCTCCACCTGCTGCCCTGGGCACACACGGGAAAGGGGGGAGGATCAGGACACGGGGTCCCCCAGGAGCATCCCCGTCCTCCACAGGGACCCCTCACCTGGGGACCCCCTGGCCAGGCACAGAGGGGCACCTCACCGGGGGGGGTGCTGGGGTGTGACCTCCCCGTGTCCCCACGGGCCACCCCACGCCGTGCCCCCAAAGGGGCCACCGAGGGAGGACCCCCCGGCGAAAGGGGGCCGACCCTCGGTGTTGGGGGGTCGGGGGTCCCCTCTGCCACGGGGTGATGGCTCCGTGGGGGCAGGAACGGGGTGCCAGCCATTCGACGCCCCCGGCCAGTGCTGGAGCCCCCCAGGACACGGCGGTGTCCCCGCAGCCCATCGGGGGGTCCCCGAACCCCCCCGGGACCCCCATGGGGGGACATATCCCGTGATCCTCCACGGCCGCACGGGGGTGGCCTATCCCACAATGCCCCGCGCCCGCCGTGTCCGGGGCGGACCCGGAAGCGGCCGGGCCGGGCGGCGATGGCGGCGCGGCCCGCGCTGCTGCTGCTGCTGCTGGCGGCGGCGGCGGGCCCGGCCCGCGGCTCGCAGGGGGACCGGGAGCCGCTGTACCGGGAGTGCCTGAGCCGCTGCGAGCGGCAGAACTGCTCCGGGGCCGCCCTGCGGCACTTCCGGGACCGCCAGCCGCTCTACATGGGCCTGACAGGTACGGCCCCCGCGCGCCCATTGGCTGGAGCGGCAGAGGGACACGCCCCTCGGGGCGGGGCAGTGTAGAAGCCACGCCCACCCTTTCAGGCCACGCCCCCGCCGGGAGGGACTGGAGTCAAACTGGGGAGCACTGGGGAGGACTGGGATCAAACTGGGGAGCACTGGGGGGGGAACTGGAGTCAAACTGGGGAGCACTGGCGGGGAATGGGTGTGGACTGGGTGACACGGGTTAAACTGGGGAGCACTGGGGTGTCCTGAAGCCTGACTGGAGGCTGCTGGGCCATACTGGGGCTGGACTGGGAGGCACTGGGCCATGCTGGGGAGGCACTGGGCCATACTGGGGGGTCACTGGACCATGGCGGTTCTATACTGGGGGCCACTGGGCTGTGTTAGGGGTCACTCGGGCTATACTGGGAGGGCACTGCTGGGCCAGACTGGTGGCTGTTGGGCTGTTCTTAGTCCATACTTGGAGGTGCTGAGCCGTGTAGTGGGGCTACTGGGCCATACTGGGGGGCCACTGGGCCCTACTGGGGGGCCATTGGGCCACATTGGGAGCTGCTGGGCCAGTGATGCTGGTCCCCATGGGGACGGCCGGGTGCCCTCCCCGTGCTGGGGGGGTCCCCAGTGCCACGGGGCGAACCCCCCGCGCTGCCCCTCCCGTGGCGCCCCCAGTGCCGCCTGCCTGTGCATACTGGTGCATACTGGTGGGCACTGGGAGGCGCTGGCGGCTCAGCGTCACCGTGCCCCCAGGTTGGACGTGCCGGGACGACTGTCAGTACGAGTGCATGTGGCTCACGGTGCGGCTCTACCAGCGCGGGGGGCACCGGGTGCCGCAGTTCCACGGCAAGGTGAGCCCGGGCAGGGGGTCCCGGCCCCCGCGGGGGGGATGGGGGAGGGACGTGGGGGGGTCCCCCCGGCCCCGCTGACCCCGCTGTGCCCCCGCAGTGGCCGTTCCGGCGGTTCCTGTGTTTCCAGGAGCCCGCCTCCGCCCTCGCCTCCTTCCTGAACGGCCTGGCCAGCCTGGTGATGCTGCGGCGCTACCGCGCGGCCGTGCCCCCCGCCGCGCCCACCTACGGGACCTGCACCGCCTTCGCCGGGGTGAGACCCTCCTGCCCTCCTCCCCCTGCACCCGCGGCCCTCCCTCTGCCCTCCCCTCCCTCCTTTCCCTTCCTTTTCCCCTCCTTTCCCTTCCTTTTCCCCTC